TAATTCCCTAACAAAGAAACCATTCTTTAAGAAAATATAGCATTTGCGTTTACCACAAGAATTGTTAATATAAAAGGTCATTACTTGAACTCACAAAGTCTTAGTCAATCTCAACCGTTAGCATAGTTTGGATATTAATATATCAAACTTGCTCTATTTAGACTCTACCTGTTTGTGGGTAAATATCTTATAGCACAAAGCTTTGTATAGAATATACATAAATTATGTTTCTATTCCTTAAGGGATATTTTATAAAATAATGTTAAAAAAATGTTTCTTTTATAAGGGACTGTTCATAATATACGTCACGCTAAAATCAGCTTTTTTTGACCCCCTTTCCTCCCTATTATCACGCTGTGTCACACTTTCTGTGACCCCTCTAGAAATAAATCAATAAATAACTTTTATAACGAACATATACATAATAAATTATATTTCTATTAATCAGAAGTCCAAAGCAAAAGCATCAAAATCATGGTCACGGAAGAGACTAGGGTTTTAGTTTTTATTTGAAATGTCAAATATTTGCGTAAATCTACGAAAGTATTATTCGATATTAATTTTTTTTATAAATAGGTAATAAATACCTCAAAATTGTTATTGTTATTTATGAATAAAAAGACAGATTACTTTTTTTATTATTTATGGTAACAAAATATTAATATAGAAACTTAACTTCTTAGTATAACATTAATAAATTTTCAAGGTTTTATGTGGGTCAGTACTAATCGTCTTCAGCTTTATAAATCGAGGGGAGGACGCGGAAGCAGATGGTACTCGATACAGAATAACGGTTAAAAGCTTTGGATGAAAGGAGGATGCTCTTGCTATGTCGAGAATTACTTTTTGCCTAAGTCTAGACTACATATGAACTATACATAACCTTTTATTATATAGGTGGTACGGTTCCGTGTAAATGTCTGCCGAGTGAACTTTTTACATACAGTTTAATTTTAATATTTTGTTTACATTATATTGTATGGAAAGGTACGAATTTTGTTCTTTGGTTACATTTTTTGTATTTCAAGACTGTCAGCTTGCTTCTTAACAGGTAATTTGTGCAAAAATTAATTTTATTAAAAAACTCATGAGAAAGCGAAGAAAGAAGTCTATCCAGTAGGAAAATAACTGGATTAAATTAATAATTTCAAAAATACCTCGACATGTAATTCGCCATTTTGGTGGTGGCCATCTTAGATTTGATATTTATCATAGTATTGTACTAGTCAACACTTTTCTTTTGATTTGTGAAGAAAATATGTAACTAATCCGCCATTTTGTGGCGGCGGCCATCTTGGACCGATTTTAATCAAATATAGCTAAGAACACTCCCGACCAATTCACCTTTCAAACAATACAAACAAAATCAAAATCGGCTTATCCGTTCGGGAGCTACGATGTCACACACACATGTCAAACACCCCGTCGTTTTTGCGTTGGAAGTTAAAAATGTTTTCGCTTGAAACGTTCTATGTAAAAAAAATCATGTTTGTTCATTTTATTGTTATTATTTAGTTTTCTTTTACGGTCACCTGTGACATATTAGCTTTGGAATGGTATTAATTTTAAAGTAGGATTTAAAAAAAATGAAAATTTTTGAGGTCATGATGAATATAACCAATTAATAATAGAATTTTCTTTTTTATATTACTATTTATGAAAACTGTTGTACTAATTTTATATCTTTTAAATTGACACTCTTCAATTAAACTAAAGATTTTAAAGTTATCTATAATTTACTTAAGAGTAACAAAATTTATTTAAAAAAATATATTTTTAAAAAAAATTCAAAATAATTTATTTCTGATATGAATGATATATACTTAAGACTAAGTAATTATATTCCAGGTTTTTAACATTTATAAACAGTAAATCTCGATGAACTATAACGTTTATTGATCTTTTATTACGTTTGTACGTGCGCAAGAGTAACCGCTAGTTCCGAAACAATGGATGGGTAACGGCTTCGGTACAATATAAATTCCGTATGAAATTATAGTATTCTGGTGTGGTGGAAGGTGTGGAATCTTACTCTTTAACATTTGCATTGTGATCTAAAATTGGTTACATTGCTCCGTTACAATCATGGCGACGCAATTGTTTGACAACAATTATATATACGTATATGCATTTATTTGGACTTATATTAGCCAATAATAAAAAAAAATCAATTACCATGTATTGGGCCAGGTAATATTTATATATAACCTACAAAAATATGTTAATGTCAACACTCAACAGTATCTGTCTGGATTTATGGCCATATTATTTCACTTTCAGCATTTAAGCCAATAAATAAAATTTCCAATATAGTTTAAATAAATTTCCTATGAAATATATCTACCTCAAATGCTAGACTATTTGTTCTGGCTGCTTTCTTTATGGAAACAATCCCGACTTGTAACCACAAATTGTACCCAATGCAATGAATAGTACTGGGAACCTTTTGCGAATGCAAATACGACACGTGAAATATTAATGCTACGTGCTGCAACTCTATTATTTTGAAACATCTAAGACTATACCCGACCCTAATCGATATAGGTCTAACAATAGTTCTAATGTATAATCTACGCTGATGTATTGCGATAGAAGAATTATATTTATTAATCTATAACCATTTTTGTTTAACTTAAAGAAGTTTTTAATATATATCTTTTTTATTTGAAAAATATTATATTCTACAGAATATTTTTGTGTTATCTATACTAATATTATAAATAAAGTTTGTGAGATTGTGAGTTTGTGACGTTGTACGGGGTATCTCTGAATCTACTTAACCGGTTTAGATGAAATTTGTTAAGAAGACAGTTTGAGACCCTGGGAAGGACAAAGGATACTTTTTATTCCGGAAATCATCCGTTAAGGGGGTGAAAATGGGGATGAAATTTTGTATTGGAAATCAAGCTAGGGACGAACCCGAGCGAAGCGAGGGCGAGTCGCTAGTTTTTATAAACCTATAGATGTAACTCCAGATAATGAAAATTACAATTTAAAATTAATATTTTACCTTTTTTACCAGCTATTGTAAATGCCTAATTAATTCTCAAATGTCTACTTTGTTATTATGAATTGAATGATTAAACTGATATTGGTAAAAATTTCTAAAGTCAATGAAGGTAACAGGTTTTGTAAGGAAAAACATATGTTATTTTCATGTATAAAAGCCACTACCCATTCACAGAGAATACTCCATGAAATTCTTTATTTATTCTGTTCTGCCTATTCGAAGAATATCTAAGCGCTGGTTAATTTGAGCGTTTTCTTATGATTTACCGTACAAGATAATGTCCAAAGGTAATCCAACGCTTTACTTTTTGCAATGAGTTATGTGAATCGCTGCTAACCGGTTGGCAGTTTGATTTATAATTTAGACAAGATATGTACTGGTTTTTATTAATGTTACCCTACTAGTATCATTAGCACTCGGTAAATTTTTTTTAGCTTGCTTTCACTTACAATTTAGTTGATTTTTATACGAATGTATCTACTAGGTAATATTGTGACATACAAACACACTTAATAATTACCTATATTATTAGATTTTTTTAATAATTATTTATACTATTATGTGTATAATTGAGGAGCAGAATTAAAACTTTTCCTTCCGTTTTTGAGTAGGTACCTACCTAATGCAAAATTTAATATTCAGTCATACTGAAATTGAAAACGAAAAATTCAATAGCAGATGCAAACACCTGCTGTTCTGCCTATTAATAGACGTTGTAATTTTATATTAATAATATTAGGTAAAAATCTAAAGAAAATTTAGTAACATACTTCACAATTTATAATTTTATTCACACGTGCTCATTTAACGAACTTTTTGTGTCACCATGCAGCAAATTTATTCACGGTCTTTTATTATATAGATGTTATCAATAAATCTAGAACCTGGGAAACCTTACTTTGATATTAATGTGACCATATCTATTTCCTAGTTAGCGCTGCGGGATTTCAACAGTCGTAATTGCATTAGAATAAATGGATTTATACTTCGTAATGTTCTCTCAAGGTTGTTTTTAATACCCTTAATGCTTGATTCTGCTTTTGAGAATTCACATTGTTTTGATACTGTTATTTTACTTATATTCGTGCATCATGATTCTGATAAGGCGTTTTGGTAGCTTCGTGCAAAATCTTTATTAAAATCCTTACCAGATTTCATATTGTAACAATAACTAATAGGTTAATTTTATTTGAAAGAAAATATTTTTTTAAATAAAAAGAGAGTATTATAAGCAAAGTTTTTTTTTAAATCTGTCTCTATGCTAGATAGTTTTATTTATCATATTCAAGCCACTCACCCTTGCTTTGCTTCGGGTTTGTCACTCGACAAAAACAAATCTATCCCTTGGCAACTGTACATTTTTTCAGAATAAAAAGTTACTTTTGTGCTATTCCAGACTACAATCTATCTCTGAGCCAAATTTCTTCCAGATCCATTCAGCCGTTTTGGCGTGAAAGAGTAACAAACATCCATCCATCCTCAAACTTTCAATTTATAATACTCGTATTAGTAGGAAATGACAATATGAACTACGTACCTACTATATTTTTATTTACTTGAAAATATTACCCATTCCTTGAGTCAAACCAAATAAAATGGCTTTACTGAATATGTGACTTATAGTTAATTTATAATCTTTCTAAGTTAAGAACTGATTCAGTTTATATACACAGTACGTCTTGCGAAATTCTCATAAATTTTGCTGATCCTAAGGAATGTTATGTCGGGCGTCTTTTTTTAAGTTCTCTTGTGAACTTAACGTCTTGTGGCTTTCAATAATTTTTTATCCTTTCAGCGATATATAATTAAATTTTAAAGGAATTTGTACACGTTTTTTTCAATTGGTTTCCTAGAATATAGTAAGGCACATATTAATAATGAATGAATATGAAACTTATCCAACCCGATGATTTATAAAAAAATGATCATGTTAATTTACATAAGATATTAAAAAATATTATTAAAAATAATTTTCTTTTGTTGCAGTGAGATGGCGCGATGGAGTGCGCCTATCCGGCACACAGCGATTTGGCTTCTGATATGTCTTCTGCCCCTAACGCAAGCGACACCAGGTATGTGTATAAAGAAGCTATTATATACATTATCATTATGTCAATACTTGATCTTTACCTTTTGATCGAAGCTCTTATAAACTAAAGTTATACCTTAGTTTATACAATTGTCTAACGAAGACGTTTAGACATGGGTGAGGCGCTCCCGACTATCATACTTGCTTTTATATGACGATATATTTATAATCGGGAAATGGCTAGGTAGCCTTTTTCTAGGATAGTACTGCCAGGAGATGACACGACAGCGCAAGTCTCAACTCAAACTGAAATCGTACACTATGAAAATTGGTACTTTGGCAACTTATTTTTTTTATTTGGCGGAATTTTTCTTAAAATTAAAGATGATCAACTACTGTAAGGACTTTTATACTGCGGTTTTACTAATACTAATTAAAAAAAAATTGTAGATAGGTAATTAAATTAAATGTGTATATTACATAAAATTTATTTTCATACTAAAATGTATTTTATTAGGACATAATATAAAATTGATAGCGAAAGGTTGACGTAGAACCCATTGAACAATCTGGTCATTCAATAATAATGCTCGGTGGAACACAACAATACAGTTGTTTCTTTATATAAAGAGCTCTAGCAAATTAGATCAGTATCACCGTGTCAGTGAAAGTAAATATTGAAAATATTAGATGAATCTATTAGTTTGAGACGTATTATTATTTAACTACCAATAAAAACTCGTTTAGATGCGAAGTTTGTCTAAGTATTTATTTGAAATATTTTTATAAAATGAAAACTTGAATATTTTAAAAATTATCTTTCTCTACGAGTATAACTTTTTATTAGTATGCTTATTACACGATAGAAAGTTTAACTACCTCGCTTTCCTTTATCTAGCCACCAATCCTAACGAGAATGTCGCCAGCTATCGGACTAATTAATTGTTGAACGGCTTGGCTAATGATCGTAAACACGCAAATAATTTGCAAGCGAATTCGATACAGTCTCCAAAACAAGTGGATACCTCTTAATTGGAACGGACATAAGGAACGCAATCACACCTAAATAGGAAGAGTCACGATAAAGTCCAGTTATGTTTTGAAATATTGCGAACTGAACTCAAACAAATCATGCTTAAAAAGTACTAGTGACAAATAAACTTTTAATTGGTAGTTTCCCAGGCGCGCCTATGAAGCCTTCATTGCATTGGTCGACTGATTTATATGGTTACTTATGTAACGAATTTTAACACAGTAGTTTCTAGCTAAAACAAATAGCTGCAAGATTTGCACCTAGCTTGTTGGCAAGTTGATGTATGCCCATTATATTTTCTTTAAATTGTCTGTTTGTGAAATCTGTATTGAGGGACAGAATTTCTCGCAAGAAAATTATATACCTCTCAAAGACTTATTGAATCCAATTGAGGTATAATTTAAATTTACTATTATTATAATTTTCTAAATCAATTATAAGTCGTTAGAGCAATAAGGAAGCAGAAGTAACATTCTCTCCTATGTTTACAATTGCAATTGAAATAGACTTTGATCATAAAATTTTATGTACAATTAGCAAGTACTAACGAACACGAAAGGAAGCGTCAAAGGCATACAACACGCTTATGCTAACTGGTAACAAATAAATGCACAATATATTTTACGAACACCCATTCCCATTACAATAAATTGCATTAGTAGTACATAAATATCAAGTTTTCTACGTTGCAGGGCCATGCGAAGTAGAAACGGGTCAATCCAGCATTATAGTTGATATAGAGGAAAGTAGAGGAGATCGTAAGTATCTATATAATAAATCTTTAAATTAATATTATTAAATAAATCTTAAAATATCAATTATACTCAAAAGTATCAAATATGTTTTATTAATTGCGTTATTTACTTACATAAATGTCTCACAAATATTAGGTTTAGTAATAGGTAGGCATATTTAATGCCATATTTATTGATCTATTGACTTGCTCTAACTATGTATTTTAAAATATCATTTAAAATTATAAATATGTAAAACGAAATTTTGAGATTTAAAATGTCAAATATTCGCGAAAATCTAAAAAAGTATTATCATTCGACTCCTTAATTTGCAGAAGTCAACCAAACAACAGTGCCAGCAGAGTTACCAATCGTAGGTGATCCGGATGTAGATGTAGTATTATCGACGGTGTTTCCTAAAGGCCCCACTTTATTTCAACTAGATGGGAAACGACTACAGCTCCTCGAGCCGCTGGACCGGGATGCTGATAATTTATCTCATATGGTGTTTCAGGTATATTTCGTTACGTTAATCTTAGAAATTGTATACATTTTTGCGGAATATTATTTTATTTAGTGAAACAAGTAACTGTATGATACGCTTGTAAAGAACAACCCCCTCCCTGGTTGTGTTGGTTTACCGTCTATAGGCCAGCCGTTGTGGCGTATTGGTTAATAGCGTAAGTGATCCTGCAAAAGCCCATTAAAACTTAGAGTACTGGGTTTTCTAAACAGTAAGTCTCCATATAACTACCTGAATGTATGCGTTAATGCATTTCCCAACGTTTTAAAAAATATAGTGTTTACATAAATCAAATTTTTAATGAATATCACGTTACCAAACAATATAACGGCACTATAAAGCTTGTTCTTGTTATTGTTATTTATAAAGTGCAATTTGTCGTGTTACATGTACACGTATTACCTTTTATCGCGCGATCATAAAACTACTTCTTAATTGCCTATCAAAATTTGTTAGCGTATCGAAGTCTTATTAACAGTGGGCGCCTTAAGCGATACGTGATAATTAATATGAATAATATTATAAAGTTATTAGTTAGTTTTAGGCAATCGAATTAATTTTTAACTAAAGAGGTAAATTGATCGCAAAAACATTTTTAAATTATTTAATTATCCCATTAATTTGTGGTAGATTTTTATTGAAAGTTATTTGAAATCATCCCTCATATCGATTAAATAAATAATGAATTATGAAAATCGATTCGCAATTCGCGACGATATTACGTTAAATACCTATATACCTATACGATATATTATAGTAAAATAAATGAAACATTTACTTCCTCTTAATAAAATCGATCAAAAATATGGAAAGATTAGATACCTAAGTTAAAATTACGTATTGACCAAGATTTTTTTGTAATAAATATTTTTTTATTATTAATTTAGTTAATCGATATTTCCAAAAAATTCCAAACGAAATTATCATTCTGAGGAATTGTGGGTTTTAATTTATGATTCAAAAAATTACGCCCCTATTAATAACGTTCATTTGACAATATGTATGTCCAAATACTTATATTCTGTAAAATAATCAATCGCCGAAGGCAAAATCTTGTATGTTATGTTTTAATTATACCGTAGGCTTATATTATGCGAGTTAAGCTAGTTATTAATGATTTATTTCGCCCACAGCTAGTTTGTCAAGTGAAAGCTACGAAGAAAAGGCGAACCATACCCGTGATTGTCAGAGTATCGGACATTAATGACAATGCGCCAGTTTTCCAAGGAACGCCGTATGAAACTAATATATCAGAGGTATGTTCTTTGTCGTTCTAATTAAGTTTTTTTTCTTATACATAATTCATAGATCTAAAATTATAGGTATAAATTAATATCGTTTTTGTGCTCTTTTATAGCTGGTTGTGTTCAATTAATTACGATAAATGAATACTATTTTTAATTTATACAATATTTTATATGTTGTTATTAATATTAAATAGTTATAATAAAAAAAAAAACTAGGTATCCAAATAATTATACATAAACAGCTTAAGTGCGATTTAAAATTATTTTGGAATATATTTTTAATTCAACCAAAGAGGTTGAGTTATTACAACTTAACCTCTTTGGTTAAATTAAACGAAAACTAATAATTTTTTTTTTATTTCAGCTCATACCAGTCGGTACAACAATATTCGATCGTATCAGAGCCGTAGATACAGACGCGGGAGTAAACGGTCTCGCGGAATATTTCATAATACCAGGAGATAATAAAACTATAGAAGATGCGAACGCCGCTGATGGATATCAGTACTTCTCCATACCTTTGCCCCATCAAGGTCAAGTCACGGTGAACAGGAGTTTGGATTACGAGCGCACTCAGAAGTATCTAGTCACTATTGTTGCTTCTGTAAGTATTGGTTATTAAAATATTATATTATATGAAGTATATACTCGTATTATTTTTGCTTTTCCTCCTTATTTATTGATTTTTTTGCTTTCATGGGAAACCAGAAATATAATCTTAATATATGATATTGGAAATAGTATATTAAAAACAGTTGAATTTCACAAATATCTTCGACTAGCGACTCACCCTCGCTTCGCTTGGGTTCGCTTGCTTCCCCATGCAAACTTTCGTCCCCATTTTCAACCCCTTAAGGCATGATTTCCGTGATATAAACTATCCTATGTCCTACCCAGTGTATTAATCTATCTTCTTACCAAATTTCATCTAAATCGGTTGAGTAGTTTCGGAGCATATTCGATACAAACAAACAAACAAAAAGCCCATTCCTCTTTATAATATTCGATAAACACGTAATTATGTTACGATTATATAGTGAAAATAAAAACATTACCACATTATAATGAAAATAATTAATTAAGTAATTAGTGTTTGTGAGTTATGAATGATTTTGTAAGTTTTTATATTAATTTGTATGTTAATATAAAAATAAAAAAAATATTTCCAATAAAGATAATATGCGCATGTCTGTCTATCCCACGCTGAAATGGACGAATTTGGATGGAATTGAATAAAGTAACACATAGGCTTCTGTTAGGTACCTATTAACTTAGATACCTAGAAAGACACTTGGACGTATTTCTAATGCATATTTTATTAAGTAGAAATTTTAAATGAATTTAATTTTTTATTTATGAAATTTTCAGGACCGCGCTCGCGATACCAAACGTCGACTATCTAGTACTACAACTTTAACCGTCAACGTGTTAGACGACGATGATCAAGACCCGTCCTTCATTTACAAAGGGTGTACTTTACATGAGGGCGCTTGTATAAATCCAGAGTATACTAGTTATGTAAGTTATAATGTCATTTTATTTATTAATTAAACTTTTGATTAATTAAGTAACCCAAACTTTCTTATTTAAAGTTTTTAAACCGCAGTTCAAATCAGACCATCAGTTTGATATAAAGCCATATGACACATGTACTGACATGACTCACATTTTTAATATGCATCACAAATTAAAGGTTTTAAGAACATTTTAAAGACATTTGAATTTAGTTAATAGTTTAATTTATTAAAAAAATATTTATATATAATTATAGAAAATGTACGATACCTAAGCAATAATATTTTTCAATATATTTTTTTTATTACTATTTCTCAACGCTTTGCGTCTCCCCATTTCTCGGTGGTAGCTTGGTCTATAAAATATATTAATTAAATTATTTTTTTTAAATTTCTAGGTAAATGGAGGAGTTTTAGCTGGTATCCTAACAATAGAACCAGAAAAGATCCAAGCAGTAGACATGGATACATTAGACGCTCGTATAAAGTATAGTATCGAAAGCGGTGAACCTGAGTCCTGGCCCACGTACTTCGCAATAGATGAAAACACAGGCGCAGTGAGACAGCTTGTGCCTGTAGATACTAGTATTGCGAAGAAATTCCAATTAATTATAAAGGTATATAACTTGACCGAATATAAAAGTGAGGCAATAGAAACAATTTGGTTAAATAAGTGCTATTTTAAATTTGTTTGTATTATTATATATTATATAGTGTATGGTAAGTTATATCTGATGATTGTAAAATCAGTAAGTATATTAAAAATTGCTCTTTATCAAATACGTATGTATAAAAAGATAAAAATAACAAATTGTTTTCAAATAATACCCACTAAAAAGTATCTAAAATTATATATTTGTTTTATTATTATCAAATAGGTAATAATAACAAAATCATGCCTGGCTTTTACATGATAAAACGAAATAATAAAAAAATGTTTAAAATAAGATATTTAAAGTGTTTTATTCATATTAATGATAAAAAATTAACAATAATTCCAGGCAGAAGAAATAACAGAATCAAAACGTTTCACGACGGCCAAACTAACAGTCACAGTACGTCCTGTAGACGCGAGTCCGCCCGAAGTGAATGCGACATCAGACGAAGGAAGTGTTGAAGAGAACTCGCCTATAGGAACCAAAGTACTGGATTATACCGGACAGGCTATCAAATTGAGCGTCTCTGATCCGGATTTGGTGAGTTTTTTTAATTTACTATCACCATATATAAATATCCTTCTGACCGATTTCGGCCACGGCGGCCAATCTCATTGAGATTGTGCAGGAGATATTATAGTGCACAAAATATAAAAAAAATCTCTAAAAAGGTATATTTTATATAAACTTTCGTCACCTATTTTACCCTCTTATGGGATGAATTTCGAAAAATGCTAAAACATGTATTAATTAAATGTATTGAAGAGCATTAATACCAAGTTTCAAGTAATTTTGATCATAAATATTTTTTTTGGTTGCATTTATATGAGGTTTTCCCGTGGAAATGAAATAATCTCCCGCGGTAAAAAGTAGTCTATGTCACTCTCCAGCCATGTCCACACAAAAAATCACGCCAATCCGTCACTCTGTTTTGATGTGAAAGAAGGACAAATAAACAAACAAACAAACAAACAAACACGCTTTCACATTTATAATATTAGTATGGACGTATAATACACCTACTAATGCATACAGTTATCTATTGAAGACCTCTTGTCGAGAAGAGGGTGAGACGCTCCCGACTGTGGTACTTCCTTTTATATGATAGTCGGGAACCATTTTTAGGGTTGACAGGTGTCATTGTAACTTGCCTTAAGATGGCACTATAGTGATTTACCTTCGAAACCACTCGCCGTGGCTTTTTTATTTTTTTCTATGTACCTTGCATTTGACAGCATTTTTGCTAAAATCAATAACTGCTATATTTTAGACTATAAAATCTCTTTCTAATTCACCTGTCGCATTTCCTGTACTGCTTACTCGGCGAGTGCGAGCGGAGCCGCGGATAAAACTAACATTTACCTACAATATTTTAGTGACAGAATTAATATTATGTTATACAACAAACACTTAAATAAAATACATGCAACTTAAATATAATTATCAATAATAATGATTATTTTTTTATTTCCAGGGACCAGGAGATCCAGTACCCAAATATACATTCGAACTGACGACTAGTTTCTTTGATATTGACAAAGATGGCTACCTCATAGTGGCTGATGACAGGTTAGATCGTGACCCACCGAACCAAAGCAAATATAGATTTCAGGTAACTATAAGACTATATTAATATAAAAAAAGTACTATAATGTCGAAAACTTAAAAAAAACATAACTTAAAAAAAAGTTCTTAGACGGTTCACGTTGCAGTACTTTGGAAAAAATAATTCAAGAGAGCTCATTTATTAATATCTTCAAAATTAAATTAAAAAAAACATTTACATTAAAAAAAACATTAAGAAATCACCGTATCATATATTTCCTATGTATCTCTTTTCTTATCTTATATCATACTCGGAATAAACTAGCTGATCAACAGACGTTGTCTTGTTTAAATAAAAAAAAAGTTGTGTCTTTTATTTTATGCAAAAATCATATAGAAATAAGCACTTTCAATTTTTCCCAAATGTTGGCTGAAAAATATTTCTTTTAGAGATAATGGACTTGTTTTATTCTTTGCTAAATAAATAATATTAATTTCTATTTTTTTTTAAGTAATTCCTTTTAATATAATTTTCAGGTAGTAGCACGTGAAGCAAATGGTGGTCCGGCGTCTGCGCCTTATTATCTCGTTGTAAATTTGTTAGACCAAAACGACAATGCACCGGTTATACCTAAAACTCAACCAATCACTGTGCCCGCTAGCTTAGAGCCTTCTGTTGTGTATAAGGTGCGTATTTATTATGTACTATCAAAAAAGTACTCGATACACAATCAGCGACAAAAAATGTCCTCACCGAATGAGCGCTCATTTGAACATTTGAGCGCGCTTATATTTTTTTTGTGAAAACAACTTTCAGCATTGCATTTAATGTTCAATTTACATTGTTGAATATTTTTTTCAACTAGATAATTACCTAAACACAATTGGTGACAAATTTAAAAGAACTTTTGCATGGGATTGTGCATCTAGTACTTTGATCGAAGGCTCATTATTATATAATCGTATAATATAATCATAAACAATATTCGTTTCAGGTGGAAGCAACAGACATAGACGAGGGTGAGAACGCTCGAATCTCCTACAGCATACACCATGTATCTAACAACGGTGCTAACAAGTTCACGATAGATCCCACCACCGGGGTGATATGTGAGTTGCACTTGCACTGTTTGGAACATTTGATTGGAACGTTTATTTAAATTCGTCAATTCGCCCGTCTGTCTGTCTGTCAATGGGCTGTGACTCATGAACGGTAATAGGTAGATAGTTAACATTTTCACAGAGTGTGTATATCTATAGCCGCTATAACGACAAATAATAAAAAACCAAGATGGCAAATTTCAAAATGGCTGCCATGCGAATTAAAAATAAATAAATTAGTAGTATTATATCTTGTACGATAGTACGGAACCCGTCGTGTGCGAGTCTGACTCGCACTTGACCGGTTCTTATTGTTTCTTGACACGTAAAAACTTTCGAAACGTGAATCGAGAAATAATAATGTTTAAATCGAAAATAATCAAAAAATATTTTTTTTATATTTTTTTCATAATGCAGATAGATTTTTGCTGTTGTATAAAATAAGATACGTTTAGATTAATACCATTTACTTAATCATCAAATATAATCAAATTAATTTAACTTTGTTTTTTTGACCTCAAAAGTGTTCAATTTACTTTGTCAATAACTGCTGATTTGTGTATTTGAATTGATCATACATAAATAGTCCTACTGATTTTACAATAGAAATATTAATTGTTTCCATAAAACGGAGAATAAAGTGATTATGACACTGTCGCACTCACAGTGGATACCTTTCTTTCTTCCTCGAAAGGGAAAAGCCGTTGTTTGAAAAGCATTAAATTATATGGTATTTTATAATTGTTCCAAACGCATGCGTGTTCTAGCACGAGTTACCCACAAACACAAATATGAAGTTTTTTTACTAATACTAAATTTGGGTTTTTGAAATATGTATTAGTATTTGTTTTATTTTTTTCACTTTATTTACGGTGTTTGAATGATTGACAATTTTGCACTTTTTTTGGGCATGGGCAAATTATTATCCTATAACTTCAATAATAAATGAATTTATATAGAGTATTTAAATGATAAACAAAATATTTTCCAACTTAAGCGGCCGAAAAAAACGACCAAAATAAAGATTATTAATTTTAACTGTACATTTGTTAAGACAGACCTCAAAAAATTTTAGTTTGTTATCACTTTTCTTATATTTTTTTCTTTCTAATTTTCACTTACATAATGTTTATTTTTACTAAGAAATACATTCACACTTTATTTTTTCCTTATTCTTATGTCTTGAACACACCTAACTAATATAATTTTTATCACCAGCAAGCACAAGTCGTTTGCAAGCAGGAGAACAATACAGTCTAACAATACGAGCGACAGACGCAAAAGGCCTGAGCTCGCAAGGCATAGTGGAGCTGTCGGTGGCGCGCGGCCCCAACATACAGCCGCCGCAGTTCTCTTCCAGGGACTACTACGCGCCTGTGTCCGAGGGCGCGGCCATCAACTCTACCGTCACTACTGTCACGGTTGGTGGGATTTGTTTGTTTGTTTAAAAACTAAACTAAAACATAAAAGAAAACAAAAACTAAATAAAACTATCTTTTCGGATTAATTTCCGGATTTATTTTGATTTTTAGTTCCCGATGTTTCGAATGTGTAAAACATTCGAATCAGCAATCATGGTCACGGGAGACTCTAAATGTATAGACGTCTCAAACGCGTTATGTACTTGTTACGGATAGTGCCTTCCCACTATTTTACAAAAATGATTTCAAATGTTTATTCATTCGTTCTTTCGTTTATTCGTATATTAGTTAGAAGAGTGTATTAGTTAGACTAAGTCAAATAAGTTCTCTAGTGTCTGAGGGCGTGGCTATAAATACTACCGTCACTACTGTTACGGTTGGTGGGATTTGTTTGTTCATACGTTCGTTCGTTACTTTCATTTTTATTGCTAGATAGGCATGCACTTGACGACAAACAACGCTGGGAAGCGCTGATCAGGTGATACGTACTTCTGGCCTTTATGTTATAATTAAAAGTTGTATCTGTTTGTTAAATAAATAGAAGTTTTTATTTTTATCATATGTCCATAACTGAAAATATATAATAGGATGAGACTGTAGAATTTCTAAATAAAAACTGTAATTATGTCAGTTTTCTGATTTTATTTTCTATTATTATTTAATATTGATTAAATATTTTTAAGGCCAAAGATCCAGAGAACGAGCCTGTTACTTACTCAATAGTATCGGGCAACGATTTCCGGCAGTTTGCCATCGGGTCCAACACTGGCATCATCACTGTTATACGACGACTGGATCGGGAAGTGTTGACTAGGTATCAATTGGTAAGTTTTTTATTATTTTGTATTTTTTTATTTAAATTCATTTTTACTTAGTAACGTCTTTTTTTCTGTGTATTAAATTTCCAAAAAAAAAAAAACAATGAAATACGGCATAATAGATGGCTTTCAGTAATAATATGAACGATCGCTTTCCAGCAACTTAAGGGTAGAGGATTTTTCCTCCGGTAAGAAAATAAAATACATACACAGTGTTTTTTCATAATATTTTGTGTATAATGTGTACTCAAACAAAGAACAATTTAATTGTAATCTTTTATATAAATATCTCGTGTCACGGTGTTTGTGGTCGCACTCCTCCGAAACGTCTCGACCGATTTTAATGATATTTTTTTTTGTATATTTGGTAGGTATGAGAATAGTTGCTAATATTTTTTTTACCCTCCTACCCCCAACCTCTATTTTTTAATCGCGATAATAGTATTTTTGTATGAACAATATTATACAAATTAACATAAAGCCAAAGAGTTTTTATTGTAGATTGAACGCGGGCGTAGCCGCGGGTTCTGCTAGTAATTTATATAAATTATTATTATTATGTGTTATTAAATGTAACAGATGGTAAAAGCAGAAGATCCCGGCAAGTTTTCAACAACGGCGACCGTCAATATCAAAGTGACTGACATTAATGATAACAATCCGAAATTCGATGAAGATTCATATTCGTTCCAAGTTAAAGAAGGTATGTAATACGAACCTCATAACTAATGTACATGATCTCTACATTATAAAGAAATGCTAAGAGCTTAAAGCTCAGGGTTAAACTGGACTTACTGAAATAAAATAAGTTGTCTTTATTTCGCTTGTTTATTGTGCAAATAAAACATTTATTATAATATTTTCCGCAGTTTTTGATTATAAAGCAAACTTATTTTAATGTTTCATACTACGAAACCCTCGGTGTGCGAGTCAGACTCGCGCTTGTCCGATTATTATTTTATAATCATTTGTATTTCTTTATTTTTGTAATAAAATGTCTATTATTTATGATAATCTAAATAATTGTCATAATTTTATTGTATTGTAAGCTTGTATTACTATACTAGCGATTCACCCTTGCGCCGTTCGGGTTCGTCCCTAGGTACGTTTAAACGATAAGTATGGATTTCTCAGAGGTGAGATATTTTCCCGCATTAAAAAGTCTCCTAAATGTTGACCCGGACCCAGTTGTGTTTGTGTAGTGGTTTTGTCGTCAGTCGAAAAATAGACAAAAAATCTAAAAACTATAGATTCGGCCTCTGTATCGATAATAATCACTGAATGGATTATTTCAACAAGATTTATTAGATGTACAGATTCGATTCAGTTAAAATTCTATTATATGTATAGATTTGTTTGATATATAAGTTATTTTTATTTGTTTGTATCCGTTTTCGTCTTAAATAAAGTATTTCTATTTTCAGGTATATCAGGAGAATTAGTGGGATACGTCCACGCAACAGATTTAGATGAGGGTGTAAACGCAATGATAAGTTATAACATTCCCTCGCATCTGCCTTTTTCTATAGATAATACTACTGGCATGATCTCGACTAATACTGAGCTGGATTATGAAGATGTAAAGGTACTGTTTTTTTTTAATTATTTTATTATTAGCAGGACCCGCGGCTTCGCTCGCGCGAAAACTACAAAATAATCTCTAAAAAGGTAGTTTCATACAAACTCTCATCCCCTATTTTACCTCCTTATAGGATGAATATCGACAAATGCTAAAACATGTATTTATTCAATTTTATTGAAGAGCATTAATACCAAGTTTCAAGTAATTCTGATCATAAATATTTTTTTGGATTCTATTATAACGGGTTTTTCTGTGGGGATTAGATAATCTTCCCCGGTAAAAAGTAGCCTATGTTACTCTCCAGCCCTATCTCCACACAAAAAACCACGCCAATCCGTCATTCCGTTTCGACGTGAAAGAAGGACAAACAAACAAACACACTTTCACATTTATAATATTATTAGTATATCAGTATTAGTTTTTTTGTTTAGATGACACGTTTGGCTCAGTTTGTAGTGACCCTACCTTCTGTGCCGCGGTCGCGGGTTCGAGTCCCGCTGAAGGCATTAATTTGTGTGATGACGAAGGTTTGTACTCCAGTCATGGGTGTTTATATTTATAATATGTGTTTAAAGTTATATATGTGTAGTGTATCAGCTATCTGGTATCCATAACACAAGCCTCGTAGCTTACCATGGAACTAGATGGTGCTGTGTATGAATGTCCCAAAATATATTGATTTATCATTCCAGGACTACGCGTTCGTAGTGACAGCAACAGACGGCGCCATCGACCGGCGGCTCGGCACCGCGTCCGTCACGGTGCTGGTGCAGGACGTGTCGGACGAGCCGCCCGTGTTCCGGCAGCCGCTGTACACCGTGCACGTGCCCGAGAACGTGCCCAATTATCCTGTTGTTAAAGTTCAAGTACGTTGTTTTAAAATTAATAGGTCTATCACAAAATATATTATTATGTGTTTTTCATTTCGTTTCCTTAGATCACAAAATATATTATTATGTGTTTTTCATTTCGTTTCCTTAGTATAGTATTTCAATCCATGAGTTTGAAAAAGCGCCGTCGCGCATTTTATTAAAAACTTTCTTCTGAATTTTGGCTTCATTTCTATTAATAATGAAAATTTTCGAAAAGCGAGGCCGCTATGAACTAGATCAATCTTATAATAATCTATATAATAGATCTAATTCTCTACCATACAATAAGTCAAAATTGTCGAAGAGTTTCAGTTTCTCTGAATAAGAACTTCAAAGATGGGCATTAAATTGAAAAATCACGGTCATAATGTAATAGGCCTCTTTTCTATTATATTATTATATCATGTAAAGGCAGCGGTAGCCCAGTGGTAACACGCTCGCTTGGTAAACTTAGTGAAGCGGGTTCAAATCCCAGGTCTCGCACTTCTGATGTTTTCATAATAGACAAAAATATCAATAACTATTGTTTTGGTGTCTATATTATGTACACAAGGCGTTATAGTCATTGTTTTAAAAAATATTTCATTTACAGATTTCGTTTTATAACTATTTTATTATATGTATAGATTGATAAAAAAGAACGGTTTAGTAAACCGAAATATTACTGGTTAACGATTATAATTAGAGAAAGGCAATACTTAGATTTTGATACCGAAATAAACCGGTTAATTCCAGAAACAATTTCAATTTTATTAATGTTTCAGGCAGAGGATCCAGACACAGTGCCAGAAATAACATATATTATACTCAAAGGAGATACAGATTTATTCTCAATAGATCGCAAGTCAGGTGTGATACGTACATTGCGGGCTTTGGACCGCGAAACTGCTGCCCGACATGAGCTTATCGTTGGTACTGAGGAAAATAACGATGGAAATACTACTACTGTAGAAGTGTTAGTTGATGTAAGTACTAAATACATTGATATATAAATACATAGATTTCTTAAGATATTTCTCAACAAATATATCTTAAAAAAATTGGGTCTATACAGCCATTTAAGCGTGTGCGAGGAACACTAGCTTAGCGTTAAATTAATTTAACCAGCGTTAAAATTATGTATAATTATTATTTTTGGCCTACTTAGTGTTTTACATATATGTTTTTTGAAATGTATTTTTAACACGATAGTTTTCTCATATTTAAACCCATTATAATAACCTTTTTATTATCATGAAATGATAATAACTCAAGGATTCCATGCTATGGGTTGATAACCTTTAAAGTTTATTTAAAATGTATTTATTTCTTTTAAGTTAAACAAAATACATTTTTATTCCCAGGACAAAAACGACAACGCACCAATATTCACATCGGTCGTCCGTCCAGTTACTATAGAAGATACGTCATCTATCGGTAGTTTAGTAGAAACTGTCGAAGCGATAGACTCAGATGCGACTGCGCCTAACAATCGTATCAGATACGCTCTCGCAGGAAGAGGAAAGGCATCTAAGTACTTCCATGTTGAACCGGATAGTGGGATTGTGAGAGTCAGGGATGATTTACGAAAAGAAACGGATAGCGAATATACTGTAAGTATTTAGTTTTTTTTGACTGACTTTAAAGAAAGAGTATCTATTGGTAGGTAGCGATATAGGTAGTTTAGTAGAAACGGTGGAAGTGATATATCGCCTAACAATCGTATTAGATACACTCTCGCGGGGAGTGGGAAGGGTCTAAGTACTTCCACGTGGAACCTGATTTTTCGCGAATTTATTTAGATTTTTGGTTCCCGACGTTTCGAATGCTTTACAGCAGTCATGGTCACGGGAAAGACAGTCCTTAAAACCAAAAATTAAAATAAATTCCCGAAAAAATCCAAAAAGATAGTTTTAAATTAAAATGTCAAATAATCGCGTAAATGTAAGAAAATCTTTAAACCTAAACATATTTGCACCAAATGGAAAAAATATTCTATTTATAAAATTATTTTTTAGTCATTTAGGTATTAATTAAGTTGTTATTTCAATAATATTTTCCAAAAAATATTTAATGTACAGATTCGACGCAGTTAGAATTTTATTATCTGGATAATATATTTTTTTCAAAGGTGGACATACAAGCTTACGACCAAGGAGATCCGGTGATGTCATCTGTTATGAGCCTCACAGTGTACGTGAGTCACTCTGCTACTGTACCTCCTGACGTGAGTATGCATAAATAATACATAAATACTTATATAAAAATATCAAACTCATTCGTGTCTTTCTCACAGTATGTGATACTAGCAGAATGTAGGCTGTATAACATTTTACTGGCGTTTTTAACGCAATTTTAAGCCATTACCAAAAAACAATACTAAATAGGATTTATATTGTCATACACTTACATATTTTCATATAAATTATAAATGAAACTTCAAAAAAAAGTTTTATGTAATACGCATTGTTCTAAGTTAGGTGATTGATTCTAATTCGTTTTTTTTTTATTATAAAGATTAACGTATTATTAATTGAACAAATTACTTAAAATCATATTTTAAGTCCTTTTGTATCGAAAAATGCTTTTTGAGTTTGGAATAAGTACCTAATTTTATTGTATATGTCGAAATATACGTCATGTTTTTAAATCTATTTCTCTTAGAAATAGAATTTTCAAAGTAAATTACATTTGACGACACTTTTGACTCCGTAGTGACCCTATTTGCTGTGTAACCGGTCGCGGGCTACTAACTATCTGGTATCAAAAACATAAGCGTGCTAACGTCCCAACATATTGTTCTAATTTGTAGGCAAAGATTTTATGTTAACGTCATACAAAATTATAATTAAATTTCAGGTAAGATTAGGGTTCCCAGACACTATGTATACGGAACACGTGGCCGAAAACTCTCCTAACGGCACTTTAGTTCGGACTTTACCTATATGGAATAAAAGCAAGCATTCCAAAGATACACCCCTCAAGTGTTTGCTTACAAATTCCTCACAAAAAGGTAAATAAATAATAATTATAAATTAATATTGATGTAACTTGTATACTGATTAAGTATTCATTTATTAAATAAGGCAACGGTAGTCCAGTGGTAACCGCTCGCCTGGGAAACCAAATGAAGCTGGTTCAAACCCCGAGTTTCGTACTTCTGATATTTTCATGTGCTAATCATTTCCAACATGATTACCACATGTCTTAACGGTTAAGGAAAACATCGTAAAGAAACCTACAAGTCTGAGAAAATCTAGCAAGTTTTCCAAAGACATGTTCAGTCCGCCCGCACTTGGCCAGTGTAGTGGAATATGGCCTGATCCCCCTCGTAATGGAAGGCCCACCCCCAGCAGTGGGACGTTAAGTAAAAGCTGAATATAATTATATTCAGCTAAGTAATTACTTATCTTTGTAATTTCAAAAGACAATAAAAGTACAAAGATAATATTATTTTGTAAATATGTACTTGTGTTTTTATCATATATATTTAGTTTGTAATGAATATTTGGTTTACATTTTATACCGTAAGAGATCAACTACACTTTTATATATTTGAAATCCTTTAAAAACTAACCTCAATTATAATTAAAACTCATTTTCAGGAATATTTTACGTAAAACTAACAACGGAACGTGATTGTGCAATATATTTAAATAAAACATTGGACTATGAAGACATAACAGAATACTCTTTAGAGGTGCAATTAGAATCTATCCAAGGTCTTATAAACCTTGAAAGTAATCAAGCAGTTATAAAAGTACACGTGACAGATGTAAATGATAACACACCATTGTTTGTTTTCAATGAGCAATCCACTATGGCTGGTGCGAAAGGGAAGTATTTCGCAATTGCCACTAAAGATATGCCGTTGGGAACTAACGTGTTGCAAGTTAAGGTAAGCTCCTTATGACTTCTGCTCTCCTGGTAGTTTAGAGGTTAAATATAGGTTATGTTTACACTTATCGTGCGAAAAGGACGTAAAAACTTCGCAATGGCCACTAAGGATATGCTGTTGGGGACTAACATGTTGCAAGTTGAGTTGAGCTTCTCATAGTTGCTGCTCTCCTGGTAGTTTAGAGGTTAAAAATAAGTCTTTAAAGTGTATATGTTTATATTTATCGTGCGAAAAGGAAGTGTATTTTGCAATCTCCACTAAGGATATGCTGTTGGCGATTAAATTGTTATAAGTTATGGTAAGCTCCTTATAACTGCTGCTCTCCTGGTAGTTTAAATTATAATAATAAGTTAAGGCGTATGTATGTTTATATATCCGGTACGAAAAGTAAGTACTTTGCTATCGCCACTAAGGATATGCTGTTAGGGACTAAACTGTTGTAAATTAAGGTAATATTATAGATGATACCTTATATGTACTTCTCTTCTGGTAGTTTAGAGGTTACAAATAAGTTTTTAAGACGTATGTGTGTATGTTTATATCCAGTGAACAAAGGATTTACTTTTAAAATCGCCACTAAGAATACGCTGTTTGGGGACTAACATGTTGCGGTACTTATAGCTGCTGTTCTCCTTGTATTTCTTTTACAAATAAGTTTAAAAAAAACGGTTCCATATGTTTCATTTATTTTTGACCGACTTAAAAGAAGAAGGTACAAAATAGGTATGTGTTTTAGTCGGTGTAAAATTAATTGTTAGATTTATAAAATAATGAGTGAACTTTTCAACTAGCGACTTAGCCTCGATTCCTTCGGGTGCTATCCTTAATGCCTAACAGTAGCCTATGTGTTAAATCTCATCCAAATCTGTCCAGCAAAGAGTAACAAACATAAAAACTTTTGCATTTATTACTAACGGATTACTACTATTATTTTATAGCTAAAAAAAATCTTCATATTATATTTATATATATACAAAAAATATTATATTATCTATCCTTTTCTTATTTAAGGCGAAGGACAAAGACAGCGGTGACTTCGGTAAAATCGAATATCGCAAAAATTCGTGGACCAAAGCTGCAGAGGAGTATTTCTCACTAGACCCGGATACGGGAGTTATCACTAACATCAAAACCTTCGAGAATGTTCCTAAAGAAATATTGCCTTTCAAATTCAACGTCATGGCCAGAGATAATCCTAAGGGCGAAGATTATAAGACTGCAAGAGCTTCTGTAGTGGTAAGTTATTTATCTATATGAACAAAAAAATTAAATGTCTGTCTATCATGAGGCAGTTTTAGACTAGCGATAATGATTTGACTGAAACACCAAGTAAAGCGTAGAGAAGAAAAAGAGAAAAGCGCGAAATTCGGGTATTAAATTAAAAGGGTTTAAGAGTTTCGCACTTGTAATATTTTCATGTGCAAGTCATTTTCAACATGATTACCACTTGTCTTACAAGTAAACTACGGTCAAAAACCTGCGTGTCTGACTGAAAACTTAGTAAATTTTTGAAAGATATGTTAATGTTAAGTCCGCCAACTCGCACTTAGCCAGCGTGGTAGACTATTTTGATTCCTCTCACATTGAAGGGAAACCCGAGCCCAGCAGTGGGATTTTAAGAAGGACTGAATACTTACTTACTACTGTCTGATATTCCAAATCTCTATGCTTTGATTTTTCTTAAAAACTATAATCATTTGCACAATATCTTTGTAATTAAAACGTGATGCGAGCGGAATCGCGGGTTTGAGTTAGACAAGTCATTAATAAATCATTAATATAATATTAACAATCATTAAAATGATATCAGCAACTATCATTACAATGAGTGGAATTCATTATTTGTTTCTTAATTAAGTTCTTAGAAAGTCAAATCATTTAATGTTATATTGTTCTTTTTATAAGCAAAAGTGAAGTTTTTCTTTACAAAATGCATAATTTCTTATGTGTGTTATATTATTTTAGATAAACCTCCTTCAAAAAGACAACCAGTTAATCTATGAAGTAGCCGACTTGAATGTCGATGCCATGACGACTATGAAAGCGCGTAGTTTACTTTCTGCTATAGAAGAAAAGAGCGGTTTAGTAGCTGGCTTAGAAAAACTAACCCCTAGATTATATTTAGGGGAAAACGGCACTTTAGAAAGTGATTCGAAAGGCACTAACGTATGGTTGTACTTGCTTGATCCGAATACAGGCGAGATATTGACGAGGGAGTCGCAGCCTGTGAAAAAGTAAGTGTTTGTTTCATTTTTCTATATATATTTGTTATTTAAAGTGTTTTCTAAAGATCTGGGTAATATTTTAATATGAAATAGAAAATTACTTAATTTTGGGTCTATGTATTTTTTGTATGTACATATAATGTTACGATCTGTTCTTTTTTTTATTACTATATTAAATCAATGTGTTATACCTTATGAATATATTCTTCACAATTAATAAAACAGTGGGCCTTTTTAGTTAAACAATAAATTATTTTACCTACTTAATCCTCTCTTCATTACTGGGTTCCACAAAGCATTCGAAAAACTTCTATTGCTTAAATGCTAAGAGTTATTATATTTACAATAAATTATTTTGTACAAGATTCGCATAGATGTAATCGCCATCAGGATTCAATTCCATTCAATATTGGAGAATAATTGTAATTCATAAAAAAATATCCAAAAAAATAAACTCTACTTATATAGACTTTACTTGTTTTCAAGACTAAGGCTGTTAAATTCAAATACTAATTAAATCTAATATTAACTAAAATTTTAAAATGAAACACTTCACAGAGCAATAGAGAACGGTGTATCAGTGCAAGCGCCCCTCACGCCCGTACAGCCGCGGCGGCCGCAGCTGGCCGCGGCGCCGCTGGCCAGCGCGCTGCCCGCGGCGCTGCTCGCGCTCGCCGCGCTCGTACTGTTCGCGGCCACCGCGGCCACCATATACATATGCGCTTCTTGGAATAGGTTTGTCATGTTGTTGATTATAATTATAATTTATATAGAGATTAGCGACCCCTTGTTACGCTCGGGTTCGTCTCTAGGTAGGTTTTAAATTTTTTGAGCGGCACCCTAATTCTTTTTCCAAAATAAAAGTAGGCTAAGTTACTCCTTATAACATCAGCTATCTGCCAGTGAAAGTCTCGTCATAATCGGTCCAGCCGTTTTGGAGATTAGCCGCAAGGAACAAACAGACAGACAAAAATGTTAAAAATTGTGTTTATAATTTAATATGCATTTAGTAAAAAGCTGTTATTTTTATATTACAAACAGACACTTCAATTTTATTTATCTGTATAGATTTTCTAATGTAAAAATGAATGTTTGTTTATAAAATTGTATGCCTGAGTAGCTTCTAGTGGTTTCGAGGAACCGCTAAGTAAATAAAATTAAAACCAGAATACAAATAAAAAAAATGATTGATAATGGTAAAATATAAGCGATTCCTCGACGCGGCGGTGCTCATCATCAAAATATTAATGGGTATTTTTAATGAAGCTAAAGGCCAAGAGAAAGATTTTTTTACTTTTTAGAGGGTTTTTTTATTGTGTAAATTTTCATTTTTATTTTTATTGTGTATAAAATCAAAAGAAAATTAATAATTATCTACCATTTTCCAATTAGATACAAAAAACACAAGGAGCAAGCGTTACAACAATACGGAACACTCAGTATGAGTATGGCGCCACCGCGGCCGCCGTCTGGGTACGAGTCTAGTGAAGACGATCCGGCGCCTAGATATGAAACACAGGTGAGATATTAATGATATTTGAGAAGAAAGATATGATATTAAATGAAAATATATCAAGTGCGAGTTGCTTTCGATACTAAGTACACTTGCTATATACAGTTTTTTTTGTGTTATCTCGACATCTATACTAATATTATAAAAAGATAAACTTTGTGAGGTTGTAGGGGATAATCTCTGGATCTACTGAACAGATTTAGATGAAATTTGGTTAGAATATAGTTTGAGACCCTGGAAAGGACATAGGACCCTTTTTTCCGGAAATCATGCCTTAACGGGATGAAAATGGGGATGGAAGTTTGTATAGGGAATTAACCTAGCGACGAACCCGGGCGAAGCAAGGGTGAGTCACTAGTTACTTATAATTGTGAAGAAATTTCGGCCTTATTTAGTTAGTAAAGTAGTTTTAGGGTCTTGGCATTGGTATTATTAAAGCGAATGTTAGTGAATTTTCCTCACAAAATATATTTTACAAACGTATAACTTGTTTCATGGAACCACCACTTTAAAAATCTCAAAACTTACATCACGTTACATTTTTTTTAATTTACTATATGACCTATAAAAAATAAAACATTAGAAAAAATATATTTATGCATTAAAATTTTACATTAATCAAAATGTTATTTATAATTACAGGTTTTGAACATGGCTGTGGACGACGCAGACCTACAATTAGACTTCAGTCCGAACAATCACGCGTTCAATATCCACAGTGTGCAGTATTTATCTAAAGATAATGGTGAGTTAGTATTAATTGTTATTACTTTTTAAAAATTCAATGACATTGAAATAGAAAATAAAAAAGAAAAAATATTTTTTTTAATTATATGTCAGATTCAATTTTGTGATGAAAAAATGTCCAAGAAATACATTATTTTACGTTTTCTTTCCGAATAATTAAAAAAAAAATTCCAGGTGAAAGGAGTCCAACTCTATCGGAATCAGCAACCACAGCGAGAGCGTCAAGCGTGAACGACAATAATACACTCAACAAACTACACAACCATAACAACGACAATGCCAACAACATAACCATTGCTCGCAACGCTCAAACCCTCAACCGAAGGCAACAAACCAACCACGCAATGAATAACGCCTTGGGAACGTTACCGAGGGTCAATAATAACAACCTGGGAACAGGTTTGGTTACCACTTTGGGAAGGAAAATTGGTAACAACCACAAAAAGAAAACGCAACCGATAATGGCGTATGATGATATACCGGGATTGCAAAGGTGAATTTTGTTTATTATGAAATAGTTTTGTTCTCTATCTGATATTATAAAGAGAAAAAAAGTTTTTTTGTATGTTTGTTTGTAATGCATAAACTAAAATACTACTGAACCAATTTTAAACATTTTTCACCTATCAAAAGCTACATTACAGCCAGGTAGTAACAAAGGCTTATTTTTTTTAAATTAGAGATCCCCACAAAAATTGCAATAATGTAACTTAAGGTATCAAAAGTTTGCCTATATATTAAATGAAGCCACTATTTTTGTATCTGAATACTATTATAAATGCGAAAGTTTGTTTGTGTGTATGTTTCTTACTTGTTCATGCTGGAACGGGTTTTTATATAAAAAAAATCATATGATTTGTTCGATTAATAATTAATGAGCTAATCTTTAATATAAAACATTTTTTTATTTAGAATAAATAGTTTTGGTCGTTGAATTCAGAACAATACTTTATTATTATTATGATTTAGCCTTTATTTAAAGTATATCAATACAAAAGTAATTTAAAAATATTTAAAATCTAATATAACTTCCAGATCGACAGATAACGACAACGTTACATTTGGAAAGAGAAATTTCGGCGGTTTCACCTATGAGCCATCTCACGTAGAAACTACAACGGAACTTTAAAATACGAATTAGTGCAAAGTGAATATAATAATATATAGAAAGTGTTAAAGACAGTGTTTTGTAATTAAACTTACGAACTAATACCTGTGTTCAACGAAGTTTTAATATAATATATGCTATGACTAGTGTTGCCAGTTATTCGGGACCAAAAATCGGGACAGAAGTCATTTTTAATTAAAAAATAGTGTATTTTTCCTTTAATTTTTGATAAAATTATCGGGACTAATGATACAAAGTTTTCAATCGCTACGAGTATTAGAGGTAGAATAAAATAAACTTCTATTTTGTTACATTGACCCAAATTATCTAACAAAATAATATTAAAAATAAATATATTCTATTGTAATAAATAAAACGTCCCGTTAATGAAATGGCAATCTACGACTGAATAAACTTTGAAATATTAGATTTTAGTGTGAATAACGAATTTTTAGATAAATTTTGTAATTAACTTAGCGCGGGCTAGTCTTGAATGAAACGCATAATATAAGATGTACATAGAGGCATTATCAAATGTTCGGTACCTGCTGGTACAAACTGTACAGATGTTTTTTTGTAATTTTTATAGGATTTTTTATATATATAAATGGTTAATTGAGGCGCGATTATTATTATCTAAATGTTTGTTTTAATCTAAAGGCTCATTTACACTGAGTTTCATATCTTTGGGAGTTGCTAAGAACATATAATGGAAGCAGTGTAAATTGTACCGTATGTCGTTACATGTAAGGTACATATTGCAATATTAATGTTTCTTGCTCTTTCTATATTCTTGAGGCGAAAAAATCTGTCCATGTAAATGTGCCTTAAATTAAGCAAAAGCTTTCGAACCTATTTTTTAAATATATTTTTTTTTATATTTACCTTCTTCCTTTTTATTTGCTTTTCCTTGAGACTATTTCTAACTTTTTTCATTCAATATAATTTTAATATACATAATTATTATATACATATTTTATCCGCGTCTCAAATAACCCACAATGGCGAAAAGTGCCATTTAAATTTAATATATTGTACTTAGATAAGTCTTTGTAGAACGAAGTCATCTATAAAATCTCCATACACTTTTTACTTACTCTTATTATATCATGTATGTCTCATACAATTAGCATTTCTTTCACATTTTTCAAACTTTGTTCTATTAAGACTCATATTGTTTACTTGCCAATAGAATGTTTGAATTATTTTAATACAGTACAGTAAATAATAAAAAAATATAATATAAATTGTTAACGTAATTTATTTGTAATATGCATTCAACAAGAATATTATTGGTTATAATGTTTTAAAATTTAACAATTATTAATGAAATCAGTTAATTTTAAAATTGCTTTTAAAATTATTACTATGATACCTTTTCTGTTAACATTTAGATTTTTTATTTATATATTTTGACGTGAAGCGTCTTTAAAACCGAAACATACGGGTACCAAGACAGAAAAGTGGACCATAACGAGATAGGTTGCATTAGGTTGCCATAGCAACTTGATATTTTCTGAAAACTGATATATGTATATGATAATCTTTCCGTTGCTATCTTCAAATATTATTATTTTTACTTATTTGTTTTCAAATATGAAAAATATTTATAATTGCTACCATATTTTATATTTAACAGTAAAAGCGACTCTTTGAAATAGACGTTTCACGTTAAAGTTTAAACTAACGGAAGTGTGCCCCGATACAGCCCCACCCGATTTTCTTATATATATTGTGCCAGTTATATTAAATTCATAGAAATATCCATCTAGAATGCTGAGTATTGAATGTTTTAATTTAGCATAATAATTATGAAATGCTCACTTTTATATAATTTTATCAAATTGAAGCCGTTTGTGCCAAACTCGTGTAATTAATCATAGTTTAAAATTAAAAAAAAAATGTATTGAATTGTGTTTTCTATCCATGAATAGATATTTTTTTGTATTTATCATACAAACTGTGTGTTTGAGAGAAATACGTAAAATTTCATACTTATATATTATATCGACGGTCGACTTTTATATAAGGCACAATAAAATTTTCTAGTATTAATATAAGTGAAAATACTCGTATATAAAAACAATACAAAAATATTGTCTTAAATATTTTTTTCTTACCCACATTTTTATACAGATATTTTTCTTATGTGAAACCGACATTTTATTTTAAAAATGCGCTAAATACGTTTTTACTAAAAATGTCAATAACAAGCGTGATAATGTAAATAAATGCTTTACATATTTTTTACTTAATGTATAAAAAGAAAAAAATATGTTATATTATACGAATTACGACCAAATAATTTTAAAATTTGAAAATATCTTCTAATCTTCAACACTTCAAAATCACTTTAAAAATTATTTTATCCGTAGTTTAAATGAAAATGATTTTTGAACCAATCATAAGCTTTAGCTACCTCTTTTTTTGAAGTCGGCCAATGTACTAAAATTGCAAGTTAATAAATATATGTTAATAATACTGTACTGTATTTATTCATAGGTCCTTGGTTACCTTTGTATTATATTTTTGTAAATGAATAAATTAATTATATCATGTTTCTGTAAAACTACTTATAGTCTATTATAAGATTGTTTTATAATTTTCAATAAATTAATTTTTATTATAGTTGTTTGTTTTATTTACTTACTTTCTTATTAAGTGTTTTACCCCCATATTGTTCCGAGGTGGGAGTTAATAACTGCGATACAGTTTATAGGTACTAATGCAGCTAGTAGGAAGGAAGCTATATGCAATGCAAATGGTGTTTATATTTATAATATGTATGTATTTAAAGTTATATATGTGTAGTGTAACAACTATCTGGTATCCATAACAAAAGCCTCGTAGCTTACCATGGAACTAGATGGTGCTATGTGTTGATGTCCTAACATATTTATCTTACTTATAATGTATTTTTAATTTGCCACCTATAATATGAGCACCTTCAAGGCAAGAGTGAATAGACATCTTCTAGGCAAGCGCGCTGCAACCTAGACATCAGTGTTTCCCAGTGTTGATTGTCGTCAAGCGCATGTCTATCTCTTGTGCATTCAGTCCTTTTTTAACGTCCCACTGCTGGGCACGAGCCTCCCTTCAACACGAAGGGGATCAGGCCATGGTCCACCACGCTGGCCAAGTGCGGATTGGCGGACTTCACATGCCTTTTGAAAACTTGCTAGGTTCTCTGACATGCAGGTTTCCTTCACCGTAAGACAAGTGGTAATCAAGCTGGAAATGATTCGCACATGAAAATATCAGAGGTGCGAGACCCAGTTTGAATCTGCTTTACTCAGTTTCCCAAGCAAGTAGGCTACCACTGTCTTTTATCTATTAATAAAAAAAACGTATAATAATATGTTTAATAAAAATACTTGTTATGATGTCCTCCTGACCGATTTCGGCCTCTGCGGCCAATCTCACTGAGACTAGCCAGATGCGCAAGAGATTTTAGGTATAACTGCAGCGCGTGTGTGTTTGTACGTGCACTCTCTATTCCTGTCACTCTCAAAGTCCAATGTGACGATACTTCGACACGATCGGTGAGAGTTAAGGCGCAGGACCGACGCGACACGTGCTCTCCGAGGCACGTGGGTGTAACACCACCAACTTACCAATTCCGGGCTGTTGCTGGAACTTACCTAACAGAAAGGTTCAATAACTAAACTGACCCACTCAGGACTCGAATCAAGGACCTCTAGATGTGCAGGTATACATGTTAGCCACTACACCAACGAGGCAGTTTAATTATATAGTTATTTCTAGTATTGTTGCTAACATTATTAATTATTTTTAAAGTTCATTTTATAGACACGAGTCACTGGCTAAAATTCAACAAACGCGACTTAGGTATATTCAAGAAATTAGAGGAATTTATGAAATATATCAGTAACTTTATATTTTTGGTTCAAATATATTTTGTATAATAAAGGAATCGCTGTATCGCTATGGCTTACTAGAAATAAAACAATAACTGGAAATGAGAAACGTTATGTCACATGGTCATAATATGTCATTCTCTTAAAAATGGATGGTCGGTTAAACAGAAAAATACTTAAATCTAAACTCGTAATTATCCATCATTTATCAGGATATAAATACGTGTCAGAATATAATCATCGTACCGGCTTTTATACCTAACATTATGTAAAACCACACAGTACGCGCATTTCAAAAGCAATCTATTTTTTTTTCAAATGTCCCAAAACGTGAAGGCAATTTCGCGTACATTTTTAAATTTAATATCTCTTTTGTACCGCAGTCTCCTGCGAGCGTTAGATCGCGCGAAATTACGGAAATGTCGGGGTTAAAAAATTCTCTCTGTTAGAGTAGGCTTTCGTGAGAAGATTTTATGCTTTATTAATGCCAATTAGTTGTACCTACTAAAAAGAATCTCTACCAGAAAGTTAGTAAAAGAGATAAAGTTTGTGCGTTTGTGAGATTGTAGGGGGTAATCTATAGATTTACTGAACCGATTCAGATGAAATTTGGTAGGAAGATAGTTTGAGACCCTGGGAAGGACATAGGATACTTTTTATTCCAGAAATCGTCCCTTAAGGGGGTGAAAATGGGGATGAAAGTTCGTATTGGGATGCAAGCTAGGGACGAATCCGAGCGAAGCAGGGTGATTCGCTAGTTTTAAATAAAACTATCTTTTCGGAGTTTTCGCGGATTTATTTTAATTTTTGGTTTCCTTTTTTAATTTTAGTGTTGGGAAACGATCTTTAATTGCATTTGAAACCAAGTTTGCAAATGCTATATTTAGGTCTAAATTCCACCTTCTACTCGTAATTATAACCATAATATTTAGAGGATCAAATTAATTGAAATAACAAATTAATTATAACAGAATATAGGTACATAAAGTACATATAGTTAACAGAAAATAACAACATCTACGTATATACGTTAATTAAAACGTTAAAAGGCAACAAAAAAACTTTTGGGATTCATTTATCCATTATTACAGAGCTTAATAAACTTTCGCAGAGTATAAAACTCTGTAAATTGAAAAAAAGTGTCTCTGTATCAAAATTTCAGAGCTTTACTGAAATTTTACTCATTATATATTCCATTTAAATATTTTATACTACGCTTGACCATACGAGGATCATTAATTAAAAAGGTCAGTTAGAGCTGTTTACCTTGAAACAGCGGTCCTTAAAAGCTCTTTAAGGCTGAGACATGAATTTGGAGTGTAAAGAGAAAAGGGGCCGCTATTCGCATCAATAAATAATGACCCCACACTTACTTACTATGAAGTAGCGTGAAATAACACGAGTTAAAGAGATATATTTCAGAGTGATACTGTCCGAGAAACACGTTTTTAAGCCCATGAGAAGGTCTATAAAATTTGGGATGAAAATATGAGGTTATAAATTATAATGTAAGTTAGGTATATTTTATGTGCAAGTTATGTTATTATTCAAAGTAAATGTCAAAGATATACATACTCGTAAAACATACCGCATACGTACATAATAAATGCACACAAAATACATAAGTAATATGACATCTAAATCTGTATTTAATATTATAAATGTGAAAGTTTGTGAGTATGGATGTTTGTTACTCTTTTACGCCAGAACGACTGAACGGATTTAGATGAAATTAGGACAGAGATAGATTATAGTCTGGAATAATATATAGGCTACTTTTTATTGCGGAAGAATTTACAGTTCCCGTGGGATAGGTTTGTTTTTGTTTTCCTAGAGGCGAACCATAGCGAAGCGAGGGTGAGCCGATAATATGATAATATTACGAGCGAAGATCTTATAGAATTACTTACGGGCTATTCGTGTATGCAAATTGTTTATTGTAAAGCAAAATAATTGTTATACAAAATAATTGTTGTTTTAAATATTTAATATTGATTATGGAATCTATAGTCAAGTCTGAAAAACCTGAAACACCTGGGTAAAGATAACAACAATATGTAATGTTAAAAAGTTGGTCAAGTACGATTCGGTATCGGGTTCTAAAGGTCTGTAGGTTCAGAGTATATTTATGTTACATGTTTATAGTACGTATGCGAGTAAATATTTAACATAAACAACAAACAGATACACAAACAGCAGAACGGAACAATTGAAAATTCGTCGTGTTTTTATTACGAGGTTTGACTGCAATCTTAACAAGTTTGACTTGCTTTATACAGGTAGGTATATTTTTTCTACTAGTTTGGATAAAGCTAAAACAAAAAAAATCACCTTATATGTATTTCCTTCGCTATTTTAATATTTGTCCATTTTAAGCGTTATAATTTGTATCTATTAAATAAAAATCTTCAATTCTTTTTCTAATATCAGTTATAAACAGTACTTAGTGTTAGCCTAAATCAGTCTAGAAATAGAAAATTTTGCACAGAGTTTTCTCCTTATAAAACGAAGGTGAGCACTACGGGGACTAGGGGCTGAAAGTTTGGATAGAGGTTCGTTATTTTTGGAGTGAGAAGTAATGTATGGACATTTCTGTTTAAGAATCGTTTTATATTACCGATGGGAAATCACATCGCATTTACTCTTTGGATTTAGCGAAAATTTTAATCTTATCATGGTTCAAAAGATAAAGCTCTTTAAAAAGAAAATAGATGTACGAAGAAACGGACTGCGGTATCCACAATTTCTAAAAAGGATTGATATCTTGAGTTATGTAAGAAATTTCTAATATATTTAAAGCATTATTATTATTATATATAATAATATTCAATATGTATGTATGTATGTATGTATATATAATATTATATCTTGTATAAAGGAAACCAATACCGAAAACACGAGAGCTTCATGTGATTGATGTAAAACGTTTAAAAGCGTACAATTTGATCCTGGGTTATACAATTTCTTTGGCTCCTTCGCTTCGAACGTTTGTTTTCCAGATGACTTATTTTGCAATAGCGAATCTGTTTTCGCAGGATTTCCGCTAAGCCCCACTTCTCCTACAAAGTCGAGGGATTTACTTCCACTTTTCAGTTTTATGTTAGGTCTGAGCAATTCTTAAGGATAGATACAATTTTGTGTTAGTAACTAATTTTTAGAGATGTGTTGATGCTGATTGAAATTTTTACAGAATATGCGATACAGGAAAAAAATCTGTCAAGGGCGAGTCGTTTGCGCGCGTGATTGTTTTGTAGCATCACTCAATACATATATCGATTAATTAAAAACGATTTTACTGGAAAGTTGACCGGTTGTTATTAAATTATTACTTAAGTGGATGACAATATACGAGTATACGTTGTGTTGATAAATGTGTTTGATCATGTCCACATAGGTGGTAACTACATATTCTGTAGCTCACTTTGACAGTTATAGCTAACGAACTAGCTTTGCAAAAACATCTTTTATGTGGGATGTGCATATGCTTTATATTTACTAGCGGTGCACCCTCGTACTCTACTATACTTCTACTAAATAGACTTTAGAACTAACTTAATCCCTCCACGACCGCGGACACGCCGGCGTTACAGTGAACAATAGATTTCTTAGCAGATTAATTAATTTCTTAGAAATTTAAATCTGGAGGTGCTAATATTATTTTGATCTTTTAATTGTATTAAAATAAACTTATTGCATACGGAATTCTAAACGGGTAATTTAAACTAGCTTTTATATATATTTTTTGCTACAGATATATTATGTATTTGTTGTGTTGCTTGTGCTTAAGTAATTAAGCCATGAAACATTGCAAGAATCGATCGTGAGACAGACGTGAGGATGTTCGTGTTTTTCATTTTATTATCCAGTATTATAGTTCAATGCTTAGGAAATACAAGTAAGTTATAGAGATAATTCGTAAATTATTTCTTACTAATGTTATCTATCTATCACTATCACTGCCTTTTTTGTTTTAAACGTAAACAAAAAAGATACATAACCAACTGTACTACTTATACCAAAAAATATTTTTTCCTCTAATAATATTGTAATTTATATTTTATTTTAAGAATTGAATTATCTAAAAAATAAACATGTCATTTATACGTATAATAAAATTCTAACTCAGTCAAATCCGTACATTAAATATATTTTGGAAAGTGTTATTTAAATAGTCATTATTATCGATAGAGGCCGAATCTATAGTACTTACTTAGAATTTTTATCTGTCTATCTGGGAACGCATCACGAGAAAACCACTGAACAGTTTTTGATGAAATTTGATATGATGATAGCTAGTTATCCGGGCCAACATATGGAATACTTTTTGAATATCTCGTCTCTGAGAAATCTATACTAAACGTTAAAACGTAACCCGAGCGGAGCCAGGGGGAGTCGCGAGTAGTAATCAATAAATAAGAAGCCAAAGCAGTAAATAATTTAAATGTTATATAAACAGTTTGTACCTATGTGTATAAGTGTGAAACAAGTTTTAAGCAGACATTTTTTTATCCTACGTAATGGTATACACAGTGTCGGATTTAACTTTAGTGCCGCCCCTAGGAACTGTAAAAAATGCCGCCCTATTATCAAAATTTGAATAAAATGTTGAAAGTAAAAAAATATTATTTTTATCAAAAATGCAAAAAAATATAAATGATATCAATTTATTGAAAAATGTACCTACTAGTTAATCTTTTTTTATTTTTCATGTTTTGGAAAATAAAAAAAGCAAAGATTTTTTTTTCTTGCCCTCCGAATTTTACCGCCACTAGTTAATCTTTTTTTATTTTTCATTTTTTGGAAAATAAAAAAAGCAAAGATTTTTTTTTCTTGCCCTCCGAATTTTACCGCCCCTAAATTTTTACCGCCCTGGGCACTAGTCCCGAGTGTCCCTAGTGTAAATCCAGCGCTGGGTATACAAAAAATAATAATTACAAAACAATTTGTACATTGCCAACCAAAACAAAAAGAAGAAGAATTTTAGGAATTAAATAGTTGAAAAAATATACAATTATCATCAGTAAATAATAAACCAACGCAATAAATAATGTTGATATTAAACACACAGTACTACGTGTAATCATTAACAGTATATATGTGTGTAAGTAAATACTTACACATGTCCTTAATAATAATATGTTATTTAAGCCTCAATGTACATCGTACAATACAAAAACAACATGACGTGGTGGTTGAACTCGACTCTATCGTGACTAATATTTTAATGGTTATATATTTGTACTAAAAGTCCTTGGATAGTCAATGACACGATTTATAAATATGTTCTCATATTTATCGCTTTGAAAGAGCTTCTTTTAAGTAAAATAAATATTATTGTAAATAAATATTACTTTTCTCAACATTTTTAGATAGGTATTTTTAGTGATTTATATATTTATTGTGAATATCTTATTAAGTACTTATATGTCTCATTAATCTAGTGCCTAGCAGATTCGGAGGTCTTGGGTTCGAGTTCCGAGTTAGTTATTGGGTATTTGTGTAAAGAAATTCTCAGTAACAGTTCGAAGTTAGAAATTAACAGATATTACACTCATGCCTCGGAGATCATGTAAAGCCGTTTTTAATTAGATATTCCGCCTGAACGAATAGAAAGTGCAATTGTGTTTGCGCACACACTTTGCTTGTTCACATATTTCCTGCTTAGTTGTCTTGTCTCAATGAGATTGGCCGCCGTGGCGAAAGTTGACCAGGAGGACATTTATATTTACTTAGATTTTAAATATAATTTTATTTCCTAGTTTCATCGGTTCCTGTGACATGCGGATTAAATGAAACTTATGTTAAATGCAAAACGACTTGCCCTCCTCAAGCCTGTAACTTGTCCTATACTGAGTATTTGTGTGACCCGAATCCTAATCCAAAATGTGAGCCTGGATGCGATTGTATAAAAGATTACTTTCGAGACGATGAGGGAAACTGCGTTTATAATGAAGACTGTCCATACCGTAAGTATGACTTATCTATACTACAGATAAATAAAATTGAAGTGTTTGTTTGTTATTTCAAAATTAACAGCTTTTTACTAAATGCATATGGAATCATATACGGTATTTATAAGACAAACACAATTTTTAAAAATTTTGTCTGGCTGTCTGACTGTTGTTCCGGCTAATCTCCAAAACGGCTGGGCCGATTTGACGGGACTTTTACTGGCAGTTAGTTGATGTTAAAAGGAGTAACTTAGGCTACTTTTATTTCAGTAAAAGAACTAGGGTTCCGCTTAAAAAAATGAACCTACACGCTAGTGAGGAAATAAAAATAATCTTAGGGATAATTTTATCTCTGTGAAAAATATTTTTAGATTATTAATAGATTTTATTGTTTAAAGAATATACTTCGCCTAAAAAAAGAACGAGGGTCCACTACATAGATCGGGATCTCCTACTATCATAGTCTTTTGTAGGATCATTCAGCCCAGTCGTTTCAGAATGAAGAAGTAATAAAACTAACATACAGACGCACGTACAAACTTTTTCAAACTATTATTAGTATCACAGATCACAATACTGTACTAGCTAGTTAGTATTTATAATAATTATTTGTATCTGTATATAGAAATTGAATGCGCTTACAATGAAGTGGCATCGAAATGTAAGCAAACCTGCCCACCTCAGTCTTGTGATTTCTCATACGACAAGTATGCTTGCAAGCCTGGTCCTTGTCAACCTGGATGTAACTGTATCGGGAAATATCTAAGGAATTCCAGTGGTATTTGCGTACCAAAGGATCAATGTGATACAGGTCTCTCAAATAACCTCATAAATATCTTTAATCAGTCACTTAAGTACTTTAACATCATAGTTTTATGTAGTATTGATCAAGTTATATATGAAAAAAAAACTAATAGATTAAAGTAAAGATGTAAAAAATCAACTAAAAACAATTATTACGTGTTTATTGAAAGCACGTTCCTTCGTTTAAACCTAAATATTTCTTTGTAATTTGTTTTGTATGTAATATTTATTATTTATTTTTATTTCCTAGCTTCATCGGTTCCTATAGAATGCGGATTGAATGAAACTTTTGTTAAATGCAGAACGATTTGCCCTCCTCAAGCTTGTAACCTGCCCTATACTGATTATTTGTGTGACCCGAATCCTAATCCAAAATGTGAGCCTGGATGCGATTGTATAAAAGATTACTTTCGAGATGATGAGGGAAACTGTGTTTATAATGAAGACTGTCCATACCGTAAGTATGACTTATCTATACTACAGATAAATAAAATTGAAGTGTCTGTTTGTAAAGTCAAAATAATAGCTTTTTACTAAATGCATATGGAATTATATACGGTATTTATAAGAAAAACACAATTTAAAAAAAAATGTCTGTCTGACTGTGTGTTCCGGCTAATTTCCGAAACGGCTGGGCCGATTTGACGGGAGTTTCACTAGCAGTTAGTTGATGTTATAAGGAGTAACTCTTTTATACAATCGGTATAAAAGATTACCTTCGAGACGATGAGGGAAACTGCATTTATAATAAAGACTGTCCATACCGTAAGTATGACTTATGAGAAAATAAAAATAAATCTAGGAACATTTTTATCTGTATGAAAAATATATATCCTTATGGAAAAAATATTTGAATACAGCTTGAATTTGAATGAACCTTGGGTTCTCGTTGGTCTCGCTCATACTACTCAGGAGGCCTAAACTGAGATAGTACTCGTATATGAGATCAATTATTGTACCTCTCGTTAGTTTAGTCAGATTACATGCGCTTTCTTGGGAATAAGTTTTAGAGACAAAGACAAGGTAACATTTTACAATCGTTGAAAAAGAGATAGTGATATTGTCGATCACGTGACAATTAAATCATACTGAGAAGCTATTGACACTTGGTTGATAAGCATTAAAATAAACATTTTATTTTGTATTTCAAGCACGTTTAAATACTAAAAAATATTCAGTTTATACTGAAATATGACAAAGTATTAACTGAAATTATTATTGTTAAAAAATAAAGTAAAAGAGTTGATAGTGCTGAAGACTAAAACTTATACACGTATACACATTTATTATATTTTAATATATTTTTATATAGATTTTTTTATCCAATAAAATATAAAAAAAAATATTTAAAAATAATAAATACACTGAAGAAATAACCATATAATGCTCGTATGGAGACTCAACAAAATAAATTAACTTCAGCTTATTTTTAGCTTGTTTTCCTTACATTTATATAAATATAACTAAAAATAATTCATTATGATATTAAAACACAACTTTTATATTATACTTTATTAAAAAAAATGATTTTTTAGCTTTACTTAAGAGCTTAAATGAGAGCAATACTACAAAACAGAAATTGTTAAATTGTAAAATCTACGCGAATGTTTATATTTTTCCTTTTTTAGCAACACCACCAGCCATATGTGGTGAATTTGAAGAACCAATAACGTCTGATAGTGGTAAAGGTGAAATTAATCCTGATGAAAACTGTAAATGTATTGACAATTATATAAGAGATAGTAACGGGACTTGTGTACCAGTCGACCAAGAACCTAGTAAGTTTTTTAATTCATTTTTATAAGTATATTTGCTTGTAATTTTTTTGAGTGTTGGATTGTGAATATCTATTATTGGATTGTGAATATAGATTCGGCTTAGTTACGATTTTATTAAATGTATAGATTATATGTTAAATAGCCTTCGAAATGTAAGCTAACCTGCCCACCTCAGTCTTGTGAAGTCATGCAAGCCTGGTCCTTGTCAGCCTGGATGTAACTGTATCGGGAAATATCTAAGGAATTACAGAGGTATTTGCGTACCAAAGGTTCAATGTGATACAGGTCTCTCAAATAATCTCTATAACCAGTCTCTTAATTACAAAAACATAAAATTATACATGAACAAAAAAAACTAATATATCAAGTAAAGATGTAAAACTCAACTAAGAACAATATATATTACTAAAGGGAATTCAAAGAGTGTTTATTGAAAGTGCGTTCCGTTATTGAAACCTAAGTTTATTTTGTAATTAGTTTCAGACGGAGATTGTAAACCGATAATTGTTAGAGCAAAAGCGTCAGCAAGATCCTCATCAAGCTCGTCGTCATCGTCATCACACGCATCTGCGTCTTCGTCAGCTAAAAGTAATTCTGTAAAGGCCCCGTGCAATTCAAACGGTATGTATTTTAAATGTTTAAAAATCTTACCCACTTAGTAACCATTCTTATACTTGAAACATATTAAATTCAACGATCTCCAGGAGAAAGATTTGAAACACAACACAACATTCACCATGTCCGGAAATCGAACAAAAAAGCATTGAACTTTAACAATTGCTGTACTAACTTTTCCTTTTTGTCATTCATTAGTATTTTCAGTTAGATTTTCTAAAATAAAGAACTTTAAAATATTAAATGCCAATTTTAGAAATTATTTTCAAGTAAATTTTATTCGAATCTATTTGCCATTAGGGCGCTCTTTAGCAATAAACACGTACAAACGTAAAACTTACTCATTCCCAATACTACTTGGATAAATAAATAAAATTAAACGATCTTTTTACGGCTTTTTACTAAGTGCAATGAAAGCAATAATAAAGGAGAAGAAATATAGCTTGTTCGATTAATTGTACAAGTTGAAATAAAAACCTAATTTCAGGTAGAACTCCCTGTATTTACGACCAGTGCACACCGACCTGCTCCATACCCAACCCTAGTAACTGCCCACAAACTTCGAATCCCTGTAATTGCGCTTCAGGATATATTTTATCTGAGGAAGGCGGCCAGTGCGTTAAATTAGAAGAGTGCAAAAGTAAGGAACAGTTAAAAGCTTTAAATTCAGATTAAAACGTTAAAATCTATTATAATTAATAAAATTCCTAAAACATATAAGTAAATTTAAAATTATTGCTAAGATTTATTTGAATATGTAATTTGAGTTTCTTGTCTCAAAATAAAGCAAGGATTTCTGCTTAAAGGACAATTTTCTGGATAAAGCCATTATGTAGATTAAAGTACGAGTGCATGAAACGCAGTACAAATATATAAATAAATCTCTTCTGTACCTACTTAAAGGAAAACAGTTTAGAATTATGCATTCCTTTCTAGAATATTTAAATTGCAATGGCGACCGTAATGCAACGTTACAAGAATGTCCGACAGAGTCATCATGTAAATCGTCGTGTAAGAATCCAAATGGTTTTTGCAACGACCAATGTGATTCAAGTGGATGCCAATGCAATCCGCTTTATTTACTGTCTGACGAAGGAAAATGTATTTTACCAAATGATTGTCCAGGTAAGTAAATATACATACAATTCTAAGAGATCTTCCTTTCAGATGTAATACCATTTATTAGTAGTAGGTAACGCGCGTATTTTATGAGGTACATCCCTAAGTGCTTTTTGTTTTTATAATAACAATTCAGACAACGCCACTTTTTAACATATTTTTTTATTAATAGTACCATATACGTAAGATACTCGTATGTTATTGACGACACGTTTGGCTCAGTTTGCAGTGACCCTGCTTGCTGTGCCAGCGATCGTGGGTTCGAGTCCTAAAGAGGCTTTAATTTATGTGATGAGCGCGAATGTTTGTACTCCAGTCATGGGTATTTAAATTTATAATATGGATGTATTAAAGTTATATATGTGTAATGTATTAACTATCTAGTATCCATAACACAAGCTTACCATGGAACTAGATGGTGCTGTGTCCCAACATATATATTTATTATTTATTTACACATACAATTTTTTGAATTTGTAATAGTAGTCTAATGAATACCCCTAGGTGAAACTAGTTGATCAAAATTTTGAACCTTTCGTGCAAATTTTGATTACAAATTTTGAACTTCGCAGTTTCAAACGTTCACTTTTCTCATTTTATTGCTGCTAACTTGTAAAGACATCTTGATATTCTATAAATTTTGTCTATTTACTTATTATATCTCTATTTACTTTTATATAAAGTATTTTTTAGTTTCCTTACTTCTAAATACGGGCAAATTACTTTTTATATTTCTGGCATAACTACTGAGTTTAACATCTTTTTCATCAATTTATGATTAATGTGAGTGCAAAAATTTTTATTAACGAGAGATTTTCATGGTGTATCAACTTTTCCCATCTATCTGCTTTTTATCCGGCTTCAAAAAAATTAGGTTATATGTTTGATCATAACTTTGATACTAGATGTAAACTAAATATAACCAAATGTGGTGTATACTTTCATACATTTATTGCAAAATAGTTAAGTAAAACAATAAATTTGCACTAAGGTTAACGACATCCAATAGCGATATAAACATTTATCTTACTTATGTACTTGTATTGTATTGTATTCAGCCCTTTTTAACGTCCCACTGTTGGGCACGGGTCTCTCTTCGATACGAGGGGGATCAGGCCATAGTCCACCACGCTGACCAAGTGTGGATTGGCGGACTTCACATGTCTTTCGAAAACTTGCTAGGTTGTCTCAGACATTCAGGTTTTCTCACGATATTTTCCTTCACCGTAAGGCAAGTGGTAATCATGCTAGAAATGATTCGTACATGAAAATATCAGAGGTGCGAGACCCGGGATTTGAACCCGATCCATTCGGTTTCCCAAGCGAGTGTGTTACCATTGGGCTACCACTGTCGGACCGATGTACTTACTAGTATAGAATTATTTCATCTGTGGCATTAGACAGATATGATGAAACGGATTGAGTCGCAGAAGTCAGATCAGTGACTGTTGTAAATTGATTTTATGAATATTAATGAAGGACCAATATGAATGAAAGTGGAAGTTTTGGAGATACATATATTTTATAAATATATTAAATTATATTTTAAAGACAAACAAAGTAATCTTTTAAATAAAGTTACATTATCTCAATAAGATCGATATTTTATAGCATTCCAGCATAGGTTCATTTTAAAAATTTATTGCTCCATTCATCTCAGTACAGATACGAGTATACTTAATATGTAATATTACGACTTTATACACTTAATTCACAATCTACAGTTATTATTTATTATAATTTATATCTATCTAATATATAAAAGTCTCACAGTGTTTGTAACAAAACTACTCCGAAACGGCTTGACCGATACTTATAAAATGTGTGTATATTCAGTAGGTCTGAGAATAGGACGTAAACTATTTTTCATACCCCTAAGTGATAAGGGTGGTCCACCCTAGGGACAAACCCGAGCGGAGCGAGGGTGAGTCGCTAGTAATAAATAAAAATATTGATGGGAGGTCAGTGCCGAGCAGTGAGACAATACAAAGGATTATTTTACAAATATATTATAGCTTAGTATTTACCTAATAAGAATAAGCAGTGTCTTAAGGAAAAAGTAGAATAGTTTTAACTATCTTTTAACTTTTAAAATATTTCAGGAGGTAACCCATGTTCTCAAAATGAAACCTTCATTTATTGCAACGCGGGATGTCCAACGAACTATTGTCCAAAAGACGACAGCCGCGCTATCGTTGCCTGCAGCCCGCCTTACCCATGTCCGTCTGGATGTGCTTGCAAAGCAAATTATAAGCGTTTGAATTCAGAAGACAACAGGTGTATTTTGGCATCAGACTGCCGTAAGCATATTTTTGTCTCTAACTTATTTATATGAAGGATAACAAAGTTTTACTTTATGTTCACCTATATTATAGAACCTTTAATTTCTTATATATATTATTTTGTTCCAAAATATGAGAACTAATTAAATCAAGACACGCGGTAGCGTGTCCAGCCAAGTTCAATCCAAAGGAGCGGGCAACACAGCACCGTGTGTTATCAACTTTATATTCTATAGTGCAGTGGAATGATTCTTATGTTTATTGGAATGTAATAAAATAATATGAGTTTAACTATTAAAATTAACTATAGATTTGATGTACACGGGATGTACAATGTACATAATATATAGATATAAATGTTCGTCCTTATCCTTACATTCATCATTTATATAAAGGACAAATCTTTATATTTATCTGTTTATTATACAGTATCGATCTGAGACTAATTGTGATATTTGGTTTCACGACAAGACATGTACTCGTAGTATCTTAATTTATGTTTTAATATATGGTAGAAACTGAAATAAATATAAAGAATAGCGACTCACCCTCGTTCCGCTTGGGTTCGTCCCTAGTGATGTTTTAATGTTTAGCATAGACTTCTCAGATAAGATATTTTCCCGCAGTAAAAAGTATCCTATATGTTGACCCGGATAACCAACTATCATCATAGCAAATTTCATCAAAATTTATCCAGTGGTTTTCTCGTGATGTGTTCCCAGACAGACAGACATATATTCTAAAAACTCTGTATCGATAAGATTGACTATCTCAATAAGATTTTTAACCGACTTCAAAAAGGAGGAGGTTCTCAATTTGATTGTTTTTTTTATGTATGTACACCGATTACGCTGAGATTTATGATCCGATTTACGTGATTCTTCTTTATTTTGATGCGGAATTGTTGCCATTTGTTTAGTATAGATTTCTCAGATCGCGGCGAGTGTAGGTACGTACTATTTCATTTGGCTTGGCACCGACTTCAAACCTATCAATAGGTAGCACATACAAATAATAGTATTTTATTAATATTAAAAGTATTAGGTTTGCATAAGAGGTGTAGTAAATTATATCTTTATTAAGTTTTTCGTTTTTGAAGTTGGTTTTTTTAAACGTAGTTTTTTTCCAAAAAAATATTTAATGTTCAGATTCGACTCGGATAGAATTATATTATATGTACATGTATATACATTAAGTAAATTATTTTGATAGAAAAAGTAAAAGAAAATGAAATTTTGTTATATTTTTATTTCTACCATAGCCCCGGTAAATTGTACGAGAGAAAATGAAGAATGGAATGCGTGTCCCCCGCCATGTTTTACAGAAAGCTGCGGAGATATAAACAAACCACCTGGTGAATGTTATCAATCCAGCTCTTACTGTCAACCACAGTGTGTATGTAAGGAAGGGTATCGTAGAAATGATAATGACATATGTGTTCCTATTTCAAACTGTTAGGTTTTTACCTATCAATTTGTTTATTAGAAAAATTATATATTCTGAATAAAACAATTATTATATATATTTCGTTATTTATTATTCCGATTAATCAGATATAAATTTTGGCTGCTATTTATAAGACTAAAATAAAATTATAGCATTCCATTCAATTATTTAAATGACCTTTTTAAAACAGGTGCTGGTGCACCCTGAAAAATCTAATCCTGCAATTATATATATATATATATATATATATATATATATATATATATATATATATATAATTCATATATATATATATAACCTGCAAAATAAAGCACTCATTGATATATTAGAATATAGATACACATTTTCTAACAAATATTTCTTCAAAAAGTGGCGTCGACATGTAACGTTATGTCAAATAAAAGAATAAAATTCTAAAATCGAAAGTTCTAAATATCAAAGCACAAGTTCGAATCTTCGCACACCATATTATAAAGTACTTCTTCAAACGAAATAAGTGCATTTTATTTTTGTCATCCGAAAAGCAATGAACTAAAGAGATTTGAAAAAAGTCTTTTTGAGGACACTTTTGAGACGCTAATTGTGTATGTTGAGTTTTTGTATATCAATGAAAGTACTACACAATATCTTTACTATATGCAAAACAGCAGAATAACAGTTTAAGTGGTGTTTATATCAATCCCTCCACGACCGCGGACACGCCGGCGTTACAGTTAACAATAGATTTCTTAAAAATTTAATTATTTTCTTAGAAATTTACCTGGAGGTGTTAACATAATTTATTTTCAATATTAATTATTATATTTAAACAAATCTATCCCACGGGAACCGTACATTTTTCCGGATAAAAAGTAGCCTAGCCTAGCCGATCGGTCCCAAATTTCATCCACATCCCTTCAGCCGTTCTGGCGTAAATGTTAATACGGATAAAGTAGAAATACAATTATGTTAATTAGTGAATTTCAATATTTAACCTGGAGGGATGCTGATATTGAGGTTCGGCAAATATTTATTGTTTATTTTAAAATATTATATATCTGTGTATCGACGTATCGACGAGCGTATCTCAATTACTGGAAACGGATTCATTTTTATTAAGTACTAGCATTGCGTTCGGATGACCAAAAACCTAATTCTTAGGTTTTACATATTACATTACAGTTTTTGTATTTTTTCTCAGAAATGAGATATTTTTCGCGGTAAAAAGTATCCTATATGTTGACCCGGATAATCAGCTATGACTATAACAAATTTCATCAAAATCCGTCCAGTAGTTTCTCTGTGATGCGGTAACAGACAGACAGACAAAAATTCTAAAAACTATAGATTCAGCTTCTGTATGGATAATAATGTTTATTTTAATAAGATTTTCCAAAAAATATTGAATGTACAGTTTCGGCTCAGTTAGAATTTTATTATATGTATAGATACGTAAACATAGTAATTTCATTATGATACATCATTATTACTTGATTATTACTAAAATATTGCACACGTTTAATTGGACAATTAGGTAATTTTAAATTAACTTCTTTTCGCAATAACGATCAATATAACTATCGCAGTATCGTTGCATATAATATTATACTTAGAATTCATTAAATCTAGTATTTGCAATGAAGATATTATAGTATATTTACATATAAAGTTGCTTTCTCTATTCCTTTTCCATGCACTATTATCATCTGGGTACTGCAAAATTTTCCGAATCATCTCAGATTGCCTAATTAAATACGTATATGAGTATGAATAAAACAAATGACTGATATATAACAATAAGTTTAAGTGTAGCCTTAAAAATCATATATACTTTAGGTTTAACCTTTCATAAAATATAAAAACTTATCTTTAAGAAAGACTCACTTAAGAAAAACTGAATAGCTATATTAAAAAATAAACGGTTCCACTTGTAAGTTGGTGAAGATGAAATAAAAACAGATATTCCAAACAACGCTGCGGGGCTCAAACTACTATGCAGACAAGAAAATAGGATAAGAGGCTTTCAAAGAAAATCCGATGGAGGTCGAAAGAATACAGAGACAACTAAAGAAAATTGAAGGGAAGCAGTGCTAGTCTAAGACACTTTACCGTCCGAACTTGGATAGATTTACTTCGGTCTGTGAATGGAGAAATCTGCTCGGACATATTTATTTTAAATTGAATTTATTGTTTGACGTCTGGATATTTGGATTTTCGGAGTTTGATAGATTTAAAAGGCGTTTCAATCAGAACGCTTATTCGGAGTTAATGCTTCTAAATATTCATAAGATACCTGTAGAAATGACAATTGTAACTTAGTTATATTACTGTACATTGTACTGTCAATATATCATGTTTAGCTTTCTCTGTGCAAATAATTTATAAATAATATGTTCTAATTTTATGTAATTTTGTTTATAGAGGTCGTTAGGATTACTGTATTATAAATGCGAAAGTTTGTAAGTGTATGTGTGTGTTTGTTTTTACTCATATACACTGACTGAACAGCTGGACAGATTTGGATAAAGATTTAGTAATTAGATAGACTACGATCTGGAGCAACATATAGGCTAGACGTATATAGACGCACCCGAGCGAAGCGCGAGTAAATGGCTAGTAACATTTATAATTTTGTAATATTTTACTGATAATAAGGAATTCCACTGAAAAAAAATAACAAAGAATTACATAATGATGATTAAACTGACTATTATATATACGGTATGAAACAAAAAATGAAGGGAAGAAAAGAATATTGCATGAAACAAAGTGGATCATCTAAATTCAGCGTTAGTTAACAAAATTAATTATAGCAAAATTACAAACGTGCCGTCATTTTTAACCCATATTTAAGTAAATAAGGTTTTCCGGCTAAATTAATCCCCATGATTTACGACTTACGTAAATTGAAATGAAAAAATTATGATGGATATTCCACACGACATATTAGCTCACCATTAACTACTACGACCTTTCTAAGTATTAAAAAAAGCTACGTTTTTAAACAAAATTAGGGAAAAATCTATAAATAAAACCTATCTTTTTAATTAAAATATTAAATTCATTCATTTACTCATAAACAAACAACGCACAGTCGCTAGATTAAAGAGTATTAAATTTTGTAAAATCGTTTGGTTCACGTTACCTAAGCAATAAAGAACAATTTTTCAAAATTCATCTCCTAAAGCGGTTAAGTAGAAATTGAATTTTGTATGGAGTAATATTTGTAGAAGTTAAAAATATGGTAATTGATATTTAAATTTCTGCTTTATTGCCTAGGGTCCAACTTGCAATCAAATAGGAAATAAGCCAATAACGCTTATCAAATTCGTATTATATTAGCAATTTTAGCTTTTAATAGAGTCCGGGAAAAATCTTATAAAAAATTATTTATTCCCAGTAAAACAGAAAAAGGCAAATATTTTGTATTGATTGTTTGCTTCCTCTTTTTACCGTACAAATCTGCGCACAATATAAGATAACTTTTGTAATTTTATTTAATTTCGAAATAATTATATTCTATTAGGCTCTTTTTAACGAAACTACTTACCGAGTTGTTGGTAGATTCCTCACAGACTTTTAAAATTACCGTAAAAATTCTATTTGAATTAGCTATATTATATTCTAAGTTTGGATATTTTGAGATATAGATTAAATGCTAAAGATTATTGTAGAGCACTGCATCTATTTAATTAGATTGTCTTGAGACTGAAGATCATGTTCAAACGTTTGCTATTCGCTGTTGTCCTATTGGATAAACCAAACAAATAGTAATGTTTATTTTTGTTTGCTTTGTCGTTACTTCATCTATTGATTTAGTCATATTACTAATAATTGAAAGCTTAGTAATAAAGTAACATATCAGTAGTAAATATTCACAATATCCAATAATAATAATTCAGTCAGTTTTAAGGCCTTACTGCTAAGTACAGACCTTTCCACAATTCGAGGGGGATCAGGTCATAGTTCATTACGCTAGCTTAATGTGAGTTAGCGAGCAATATATGAGATCTGCTATTAGAATTATTGTACGAAAAAGATGAATTGAATCAATAGAGTAAAATGATCATGATTGAGATTTTACTTTTTTAAATTTAGTGCCTAATTGAAAGAGTTCCGCGTTCATGCTAATACACTTGTTGCGAGTTAATAGATTTTTAATTTGATATCAAAATCAAAACTCAATAACATGAGGTATATATATCTTAACATATATAATTCTTCTGTACGTGTGTTTGTTACCCTACTCCTCTTAAAGGGCTGGACCGATTTGGATGAAATTTTGTGTGTATATTTCAGTGGGTTCCTGGATGGTTTGAAAATACAATTGGACCCGATAGGAGGCACTGCAGTCGGTGTGTTACAAAATTTTCATAAAAGACTCAATTTTCCGAGCAACAAATAAATTTAAATTGTTGATTAAATAAAATAAACATCGACGTGTGTGTGTATGTTTCCTATGCACTTCTGAACAGCTGGAGCGATTTTAATGAAATTTTCAGGTAATCTTCAGATTAGTCCAACGACTGATCCTGTGAATATTGTTAGCGATCGGAAGTTTGAATGTGAATAAAATGATACTTCATTTTATTCGTGCAAGTTAGCACAAACTCAAACATTATTAATTTCCCACTTCATAAATTTTAATTCTAAGCACTAAATTATTAGTTTCTTTGCAATCTTTTAAAGCGTACGTTGAAATTTCGAACTATAGTTACAAGCTGCAATAATGAACCCCATGGAACACGGTTCGTGTTATGATTGTGTGATATAAACTTTAATGCATCTAAGTTACCCGACACCTGTCACAGGTGTAAGTTGCAAATATCGCAGAGTGCATGCTTTGACTACATTACAAACAGTAATGGAAACTCTTTAGATACCCAACTCTATTTACGAACTCTATTTATCAGACTCTATTTAGGAGTTGTATGTAAAACACTGGTACTGTGTTTTAAAAACCCATACTTTCTATATCTATACTTAATAATATAAATGTGAGAATGTGTTTGTTTGTTTGTTCGTTTGTT